TGTGTCCCTCTTCTGAGCCGCCATGGTGCTGTTTCCCCTGCTTGGAACCATCTCCCCCAGACTTTGCCAATTTGGCCCTACTCACCCGTTGGAGCTCAGTTACCCTCCTCGGTGGGCCTCCCTGAGCAGCAGTCCTCTCTAAAGTGGCCCCCGCCCACCCCAGCCTCCTGATCCCATTACCTGGTGGTGTTTTCTTTGTGACACATTGACAGTTCCAAACCTCAGGAGCCTCTCAGGTGAGATCTGAAAATGGCCCCTGTACCTGGAGGGTGAGGAGAGACAAAGAAAGAGGTGGCCCACTCCAGATGGGTGATTGGCGGTTTTAACATGAAAGGGAACTTACTTACTAGGCTTCTCTTGGGCCAGAATCTTAAAGTTTATAGAGATGCCTTAGCGGGGTGTAGTCTACACCATCCAGATGGTCTCAACACCATGTTTCTCTCTCAGAGCTGCATCTCTGGCACAGTTCCCACAGTGGGAATGGCGGGCAGGATGCACATCCCAAGGACTGGGGAGGGCAAGGAGCCTCTGACTGCCCGGGGTCAGCTCTCAGGTCAACGGGCGGTCACGTCCTCTCAGTGACCATCCCAGCTTCTCACTCCTGTGTCTGTTTCCCTACTCAGACATCACCAACCATCTCCATCATCCCTGCATCCACGGTCTTAGAACAGAGCCCGGCCCAGAGTAGTTACAGCAAAGAGTCATTGAACACACGGATCCAAAAATAAATGTTACTGATTGAGTAATAAATAGATGAATGACTGAATGAAGAAATGAATGAATGAATCCATCAGTCACTTGCTTAGCACAGAGTCCGCCTTATAGTAAGTGCTCAGGGAATGTCAGTCATTGTTGCTGTGGATGGTAAGAATCCTTCCTCCTGCAGTCTCACAGGCAGCTCTGGAGTCGGGCTGTGCACATGGAACGGCCCCTGTCTGAGCACCGCCTTCGCCGTGGGGGCGGTGCCTGCGCTTCTGTATAAAATGAGCCCCGTCCCACCGCATAGCCATGAGCCACCAAGTGTCCTTCCCTGGAGACACCGGCCTTGCTGGGGAAGAAGTGCTCGGGGGTCCCCAGAGACAGTGCTGAGGCCCCCAGCACCCCCACCAGTCACGCCGCTGCTTCCTGCCTTCATTTACCAAGCTGCCCTGACAGACCCCCTCCCCATCCTCGGCTCAGCCCAGGAGGAGCCCCGCGCCCACTCCCCTCACACCCGGTCCAGGGGCGCCTGGGCGGGGCTTGGGGTCATCACCCGCCAGGTGGGAGCCGGGGCCTCTCACCCCTTGTGCTGAAGGAAACGAATTCCAAAGCCGGGACTGTAGTGGGCACTTTTTGTCCCTAAATTCCTACAATAGTGACCAGCTCATACCTTGTGGAACCCAGCCAATGGGAGCTGTCAATGTGTGGGGACATCCCGGAAACAAGGCGAAGGGGATAAAGGATTGGTCTTACTGGGTGTTAAAACATGTTTCTGTGTGTGCTCATTTGTATGGCAGTATTTCTGCAGTCCAGGCAAGTGATATCTGTCTCTCTGTCTGCCTCTGTCCGTCTGTCTCTCTTTCCTACACGCTTTCTTTCTGACTGGACAATTCTACCACATAGAAAAGGCAGAAGAGGGCCGGCCGGGTGGCATAGCAGTTGGGTTCACGCTTTCGCTTCGGCAGCCTGGGGTTCACTGGTTCGGATCCTGGGCACAGACCTACTCACTGCTCATCGAGCCGTGCTGAGGCGGCGTCCCACATAGCAGAGCTACAACTCTGCAACTATGATGCACTACTATGTACTGGGGCTTCGGGGAGAAAGAAGAAAAAAAGAGGAAGATTGGTAACAGATGTTAGGGCAGGGCCAATCTTCCTCAAAAAACAAACAAACAAACACAAATTTAAAAGAAAAGGCAGAAGGGATATTTAAGTTCTCTAGAAGTCTGTTTACCAGGAGGCTGCTTTTGGTAAGAATAAATCCAGACACACACCACAGCCAAGGAAGCCCCCATGACCTGCTCCTTCTCTGTCTCCTCTACCTTGGGGTCTCAGCCTGATTCACTTTCTGTGTGTTCTTCACACCAGATGAGTTTGGTGCTGCCCCAGGGCCTTTGCACATGCTAGCCCCTCTGCCTGCAATGCTCTCTCCCCAGATTTTAGCAGCATTCTGCATCTAAGTCTCTGCTTGTATGCTGCCTCCTCAGACAGCTTTGCTCTGACCACCCCATGTATATAAAGTAGCACCCTCACCAGCAACCTGTCTCCATCACAGTAGCCTGTTGTAGTTTCTTCAGAGTACTCCTCACCATCGGAGGATTCGTGGACTGTCTTGTACTCTAGAAAAGGACCATGAGGGAAGGGATATCATATGTCTGGCTGGCTCACAGCTGAGCCAGGATCTTTGAAAACTTCCAGGCACAGAAAAGGTGATCCAAAAATGACAGATGTGGAACTGGTGATGAGCAGGTGGCTGATGGACGGATGGATTACTTGATAGATCAATCTGATAACTGACTGATCTTCTGGGATCTACAACGACTTGAATCTAACACAGTTTCTTGTAACACCAAAGTCCTCTGAACTGACAAAAAAATGGTCCTTCTAGTGACTGATCTCTGTAAACAAATCTAAATGTGCCAGCCAGCTCTCCAGGAATTTTATTACTTCAGTGGCCACCATCTGAACTGTGGGAAAATGAAAAGATTGTCCTGTTTATTAGGTATAACACGTGTATCTCAGTGAGTCTCTGCCCTTCCCCCGTGCTGTTCCCCACAGCTCCACTCAGCCTCTGAAGTCACCTGCTTGCTGGCTTGTCATGGTGGGTCCCCTCTACAATGTGAACACCATGAGCGTGGGGCCTGATCCATCCGGCTTAGTGCTACATCCAGGGTGCCCAGCACGAGGCCTGGACTCAGTAGGCACTCAATAAATACTGATGGAAATGAGCGAATCCATGTCAACTCAAAGCAGAGTGTGGTTTCTGCCTCTGCAGACACCGCCTCAGGCCAGAGATCAACTCATCTGTGCCTTTACAATCATAATCCTCCCAAACACTTATTGCCATAAATGGTATAGAACAGACCCTGTCTCTTGCCTCCCTAGTATCTACCCACCTCCTGCAAACAGCTCAGTGTGATCAGATCGCAGGTGGACATCCCCGATCTCAGAAAAGGTGGCCCTTCCTGCAGCTCCAGAAATCGATCATAATTGGTGTAAACCAAAAATGGTGACCTCAGTCCTCTACTGCAGTGATCTGCCCAAAGTCAGGCTTGACTCTGGCCAGTGAGATATGGGGAGAGTCATAGGGAATGCCTCTGTCTTCCTGAAAAATAATAGTAATAATAATAATAGGTAAGTAGATAGTGATCACTATGTGCTAGCCATTATTTAAACCACTACCTATATAACTGAAGTAAGATAAAATTTGAAGAGGAAAACCGCTTTATTCTTGACTCTTATCCTTTTTACCCCCCTGCTGGCGCATAGATGTGACGCCTAGCGTACAGCAGACGTCTTGGCACCACAAGGCAACAAGAATGAGGAAAAGACCAAGAGGTCTCCGATGCTCTGATCCTGATAGCGTAGAGCTGCTGAACCGAAGCAGAAACTGACTGCTTCCGGTTCTCTTGCTCTGGAGATAAATAAACCCCTGCCTGTTTTAGCTACTATGATTCAGCTATTCTCTCACTCACAGACAGAAGCGTTTCTAACTGACACAGGCTGGCTAAAGATGAGGATGAAAAAATAATATGATCCATCCCTCCCAATGGCTTAGTGAAGCCCCGGACAGGAAAAACAAACAAAAAAGACCAATGGGACATTAGCACTCTATGAGAAGGGGGAAAAGATAGGAAAAGGGAAGGGGGAAGTGAAATTCGTTGACCATAAAAGCCCCTTCTGTGATTCCATCTGTTGGAGAGGACAGTCCTGGTACCCACTTACCCTGAGACACAGAGTGTTTAATGTAATGCTAACACTGAACTGTACAGCCTCATCCTTGGAAGTTAAAATGGACTTTCTTGTAATTTTTTGTGTGTGTGTGTGAGGAAGATCAGCCCTGAGCTAACATCTGCCAGTCCTCCTCTTTTTGCTGAGGAAGACTGGCGCTGGGCTAACATCCGTGCCCATCTTCCTCCACTTCATACGGGACGCCGCCACAGCACGGCCTGACGTGCGGTGCATCAGTGCGCGCCCAGGGTCCGAACACCCAGGCCGCCAGCAGCGGAGCGCACGCACTTAACTGCTACACCACAGGGCCGGCCCTGACTTTCGTGTATTTAAATGAAGCTTCTCTATGTTCTCCCCACATCCAGATGCCCTTTTGCTAGCTTAAACCATGGCAGCAGGTTGCTATTGTTTTATGGATTTCTCTAAATCTCCTAATGTTCAGAATTGCATGGATCTTATCTCACGTCTGGGCCCTCAACCCTTTTACGCCCCCCTGCCCCACTTCTCCACAGCATCTCTAACGTGAAAGAAACTCACGTGGGGAGAGAAGAGTCCGTCTACTTTGCTTCGTCGATGGATTTCTCAGCTTGAATTACACTTCATAAAATGATTCTTTGCTCTTTACCTCAGCTGCCATCATTTCTTCAGCTGCATATTTCTTCAAAGGGCTCTGCTAATTGCTTTTTTCCTCCTTTTCTCTAAAATTGAAAAGAAGCAGTTTCCACAATAAAGGTGCCCTTTCCTCGTAACCTTTAACAGTGAGAGTCTCAGAACTTGCAGGTGGATGAGACCTGGGCTACACTTTGACTGTCTTTCTCACCTTCAACCAAAATGCTGCTGATTTGCTTTTCGAAGTCACAAATTCAGACGTCTGGGATGGTTGAGGATCGGTTACATCAATGACAAAGAAAGAACGTGTCTCAAGTGGTAACACAAAAGGAGCCTCGCCCTGATCAGAGCCGGAACTGCTGTGCGAGAGAGAACGGGGCAGCCTGAGACTCAGCCGGCCCCTCTCCTTAGACAGGTGCCCCTCTCGGGGTGTGGGGTCTGTGCAGCGGCGCCCGCGGGTACGTCTCCGGGACTCTGAGGACGGCTGACGCACACCCTCGCTCATGCCGTGGACGCGGTGGGACCAGGGGAGCTCCGACTCGGACCTGAAGGAGGCACAGAGATTCCTCGCCCAGCGCTCCCAGGCGCTGTCACAGTGGACACACATTCTACTACATCCAGAGGTCTTCAAATGTTATTTGCTTTGTATTTTTATTTAAATCTACCTCACAAGCTAATGAGCCTTGTTGCAAGCAGTAAGTGCTGTGAAATCCTAAGTCTGATATGCTGGCTTCGTGTTATGTTTTCCAATGCATTTCAATTACAGGACTATACACATATACGATATACATGTATATACACACGTATGGACACACATGGACACATATATGCACACCATCACCTCTGCACCACCTACATTATTTAAGAACCTTCAGTGATAAGGGTGTTACACTTTGACAAACACGAATCTTATTGAAGTGACTCATTTTTGTCAGGAGAAGGTGAGGCCCTGAGAGGAGAAAGGACGTATCCAGAGTCATTGAGCTAAAATAATGACAGAGTCAGAGCCAGACCCCAGATCTGCCGAATCCCAATCCAGACCTCTTTTCTGAAGATCAAAATCCTCTTGCTTGACACCCAAAGCTGTGCCATCTAAGACGTGAACGGCTCCCCCTGGATGTGGTGCATTTGGGTGAGCACAGTCCACAGCGCCATGCTGCCCCCCACTCTGTGGGCGTGTGTCCAGGCTCGCAGTGGCTGGGGGCCACTCGGGGAGGGGATATTCAGGCTGCAGCAGTGGCCTTAAGTTTCACTCCCACCCAGGAATTGCCAGCCCAACATGACTCCTTGCTCCAGCCAGCCTGAAACCCCCTGTGCCCTTTCTGACCCTTCCTGCAGTGGAAACCCCATCATGACCTCGGAGATATCCAGAAAAATGGCAGATTCTAGGACTACAGAGGATTAAAAGCACAGAAAGGAGTAAAGAGAAGAAAACAGTAAAGCCACTGAGCCCTAAGTTAACCCACATCAGAGGAGTGTGCCCTCGTCCACATACGGGCACAACATAGACGTCGCAAGGAAGAGTCAGTGACTTTGTGGGCAAAGCGAGCAGGACACAGGAGGGGCCCTTTCTGTGGGGCCTCAGGCCCAGGGCGGGAGAGGAGAAGACGGTGGGGGTTTACTGGTTTGGAGAGTTCTAGTTCCCTTCCTCCCTGATGGGTTACACCTATTATGGTTCCGTGGGACTCAGGGACACAGCTGACTCCAGACCCGAATTCCCTGCTGTGGGTGATGTGACACCAGGGCACATCAGCGATGTCTGGAGATATTTCTGGGTGTCACACTTGCGGGGAGGGCACTGGCATCTCATTCGTAGAATCCAGAGATGCTCCTGAACACCCTACAATGCGCAGAGCAGCCCAGTCAGCGAAGAATTATCCAGCACAAAATGTCAGTCATGCTGAGGTTGAGCAACACTGAGGCCACGATTATAGCTCAGAATTGTCCTGAAGTGACCGTGAGTGCAGCGAAGGAAGGCATCCCACGTCCATCCACCAAAATGTCAGAGCCGGGTCCTGCAGAGGCCTCCTCCTCATCCCACTCACTCATGGGGAGACCCACGAGGTTCTCTCTACCTGCCGTATTCAACCCGCTCTGGGAGACGCTGCCTGCCACAGACAGGGTACTGTGTACCATTGCAGTCATCAACCATCCTCACTTCTATCTGAGGAGGAAACTGCACAGGTGGTTTTATCAGACGGTGTTTTAAATGATGTTCATATATAATGTAATGTGACAAGAACTATTATTGAGAGGAAACTGGGAGAAAACAATGAGAAGTTGTTTCTTCTTCGAGAATGGAGGAAAGACCCAAAAGGGATATTTTGACCTTTTCAGAGGAGCAGCCTTTCTCTCAGGTCAAGATGCAGATCCCAGCGTCGTCACTGGACGGGGGCTGCCGATTAACGATGCTGTCTGTGGACACAGCAGATCTAAACAGACCCCGACTCACTGTGAGCATCGCCTGGCCTGACTGGTCCCCGCTTACACACACTTTCACAGAGTCCCATAGCAGTTTTAGATTTTCACACCTAGTGAGTGCCCTTTGGAGTTGCTTTTTTTTTTGGTGAGGAAGATTTGCCCTGAGCTAACATCCATCGCCAATCTTCCTGTTTCCTGTTTTTGCTGAGGAAGATTAGCTCTGAGCTAACCTCTGCACCCATCTTCCTCTGTTCTGCGTGTGGGATGCTGCCACAGCATGGCTTGATGAGTGGTGTGTAGGTCCTCACCTGGGCCACCGAAGTGGAGCCACCAGACTGGCCCAACCCTTTGGAGTTTTTAAACTGACCCTGGTTTTTATTTAAAATCACTTAGTTCATAAATAATTATAATTAGTGCAATAAACTCCTCCCTCAGTCTTTCTCATCTCAGTTGATGGTGATTTCATCTCTCCAGGATCTCAGGCAAAACAAGAAAATAAACAAAGAACCACACTGTCACGTGAATCCATCAGCAGAGCTTTGCAGGCTCCACCTTCAAATACTGAAATCCGAGTCCTCCCATCACTTCTATGGCTGGCACCCTGGTCCACTCCACCGCTGCTGTCTATCACCTGGGTTACTCCAGCCTCCTCACCCATCCCTTCAGTTCTGCCTTTGCACCTCCTTGGTCTGTCCTCAAAACAGCACCCAGAGGGAGCTTATGAAAATCTATAACAGAACGAGTCCCTTCTCTGCTCAAATCTTCCAACAGCTCCCTAATTCCCGCAAAGAAAAAGCCACAATCCTTCAATGGCCAAGAATACCCATCATGATCCCCCCACTCCACCCCAGACACCTTCCTGCCCCTGGGCCTATGCACCTGCCAATTCCTCTACCTGGAATCCCCAGGTATCTATGTAGCTCATTCACTCATTTCCAACCAACTTTACTCATGGAAAGAATTTTCATTGTTTGGAGAGAATTTTCTTGGATTCTCTCTAAAATTGCAAACCTCCCTTTTATCCCCTATCTATGCTATTCCTTCCTTGCTGCATGGTTTTTTCTTCTTCGCACTTTTCCTGATCTAACAGACTACGTATATTACTCATCTACTTTATCTCTGTCTGCCCCAAAAGAATCTAAGTCCCACTAGGACATAGATTTTTGTGTTTGGGCCATTATTAAATTTCCAGGGCCTACAATCATGCCTGCCACATACAGGAGGCTCTCAATACGTATTTCTTGAATGAATTAATGAGACATAAACAGGAGAATTGTTAGCCATGTGGCCCTTATATACACACTGTCTGTAAAAATCTCAAAATGACTGTAAGATATGTGTGTCCCACTTTCCAAGAGAATAAATAAAGAAGAGAAATCAATAAGCACAAACAATTCTGCATTATGAGTCATCAAAGAAATGCAAATAAAGCAATATGATATTTCACCAGTCAAATTGATAAGTATTTTTAAAAGCAAATTGATACTACCCAGTGTCAAGATGCATAAGCATTTCCTACATTGTCAATGAGAAAGTAATCTAGTACAACTTTTCTGCAAAACATTTTGTCAATATGTAGCAAAAACCTTAAAAACATTTATGCATGTTAAACTAATCATTTGATTTTAAGAGATAATCTAAGAAATAACAAGAGAAGTAGACAAAGACATATAAGAAAACATTTACTGTAAGTTGTTTATATTATTTTAAAAAATGGGAAAATTCTTACTATCCAACAAGAAAAGAATTGATTAGTTAAATTGGTTAGATTAAATTTCAGCCATTTAGTGAGACACTCTGGCTGATGGAGTCCTGCGAGGAAGGTCGCTGAGTGGCGTAGGAGGAGCCAACAGTGTGTTCTTGTGGTGGATTAAATAGTCGGACACAATTCCTCACCCTTTCCTCTGTCTACACTCGCCTACGATGTGGTCCGTGCTCCCACCTTCCTCTGTACGTGCTGGATGTTATAAATCCACAGCCCATGATCGACCGCTCCTACTTGAAAGAGTCAGCTGAACCGTCGTCAGTACTGAACTCAGCTGACTCTGAATTTTCAATATACGTCACTAAAACAGAGAGGTTGAGGAGGTACTAGCCACACGCAGCGAGTCAGCAATGGTATGACATGTAACATTTGTCTCCCAGGTCAGGGCTAAGACCTCCCGTCTCATCAGTGTTTCCTCCAGACCCTTTAGGTGAAGATCACTGAGTGATCCAGTGTCTCTGAAAGTTCTAGAAGGCCGTGTGTGGCACCCCACGGGGCAGGCAGAGCTGAAATCCACTTCTGCGGAGGGAATTGCTCGCATGTTTTCCCAGCTCTCTCCACAAGAGAGAAGGAATAGACACAAGCTCATCCCGCAGGTGATTCAGGGAAAAAAGAAGTCACGAGAGCCCTGTACCTGACGCTGCAGGATGGAGGGGGCGCCCAAGGGGGGTGGCAATGATCTGGAGTCGCCCGGCTGGGGACCGTGGAGCCAGTCAGGCAGATGCCTGATCACAAGGGAGACCAACCTTGAAACCCCTCGGCAGCTGAATCAACCTGCTGCTTGCAATCGCGACAAGTGTTATTCATCTCCTCATTGGTAGCCATATGTCACAACAGGCTGCCCAGTCCGTCTTCTGCCGTGGCACTGCTATCCATAGTTTATGAAAGTAGTTTGTTCTTGGAAACTTCCTGAGGCTAACTTTCCTGTGGGCCAAAAGCAACTTTAAAAAGAGTCACCAGTGACAGTAAACGTAACTGACCATCAAGCCTCTGGTCTGGCCCAGAATCCCCAAGTGCTGCAGTCAGGTCAACTTAGGTCACACAGAGAATCTAGTCCAGGGCTGCCCTTCAAGGTGGACCTCAGCCACTTCCCCTGCCACCACCTGGTCCGAGCCACCGTCCCCCCTCACCTGGATGCTGACAGCAGTCCCCAAAGTCGTCTCCCACCTTCTGCTCTTGCAATCCTCCAATCCACTTCCCACAAAGCAGCCAGACTTCCAGACTGAATTGTTTCAAGTTTCCATAAGTGAGATGTTGTCACTCACCTGCTTAAAGCCCTTCAGTGACTTACTACTGTTCTTAGGAAAAAAACCCAAACTCATTCCATGGTTCCGGGAGGCCCCACAGGACTGGGCATCTGCACGTGTCCCTAATCTCATCTTGTACAACATTTCCCAGAGTTCTCTGCAGACAAGCCCCGC